ATTACCCATTTCTTTGTCATAGACTTTTTACTTGGTGGGGCAAAGACAGTTTAACGTTTGACCCCACTGCTTCCTCACATGTCAAGAAAAGTTGAGGACTGCATTGGATTTGCAAAAATGACTGAAGAGACGGAAAAGGGGATTCAAGAAGGTCACATCATTTGCAGAGTCCGTGGCTTGCCAATGAAGGTTCATGTGACAAAGTCCTTTGTACAGTAGTTCAGTGTCCATGAAATCCATTTTGTACTGTCTAAAACGTCCTAGATATTGTCGAAGAATTTGCCATTTCCTCGCACATTGTAATTCATACTGCAAATCCCACCATTCGGCTTTTCTCGGTGCTCTAACAGCAGAACCAAGATTGTGCACAGTCTGTTAGTCCAACAGTGAACACGATGTTACTGCAACATTTTAAACCTGCTCTGTAGCTTGTGTGTTGTGCTCTATAGAGTGACTCTAACTGAATGACTCGTTTCTGAGTCAATTTACAGGATTGTGACAATGTGCAAGTGAGACCACATTCAGGGAGGGAGCTGGATTTTTGCCTATTGTGATCAGTGAATGAGTGTTGCAGAGACGAGCCGCTGTGCAGCCGGCGAGCTCCCTGAATACTTCACCAGTATTCCGTCCCAAATCATCTCAGTGGAAATAGCCTTTTAGCCTGGTTTTCACTACACTAATATAAGCTTTACTTACTTCAACCTTTTCAATCCATTTATTTGTCCTGCTCTAGGGATTGAAGTATGAAAGGAAATGCTTTTTAAGGACTGAGGAATTCAGTTGTGAAAACCTCACTCTGCCTCTTTCTGTCTCTTCCCCCCCCTTTGTTGTCAGTCATAGCTTCTCTTCAAAGAGGCTGGCTGTAAGCAGGAAAAATCCCACAAACAAACAGCCGATAGGTGAAAAATTCTCTTTTTAAACACCTTTGTAATTTTTTTTTTGTGCATCTATTTCTTTTTACTTTTGATTCGTTCATTTTTATTGAAAAGGTAGTCTTGTCTGGAGTGCCCTTGGGAGTGCTTACCCTTGGTGTGCGTACCACTGCCACCATCTGTGGTGAGGACGTCTCAGACGAGAGACGTCCCCACGACAAAGGAAAAATAAAAGGCAGAATAAATAGGAAAGACAATAAAAAGATGAAAGCATTGTTGAAAAACAAAAGAGTAAAAGTCTTAGCTGTGATGGAAGCGGCGGTATCATCAGAAAGCTTCTCTAATCCAGGATTACTGTGTTTATTTTGTGTGTGTGTGTGTGTGTGTGTGTTTTTGCATGTGTGCCTACATCTACTGCCTCTGATGTGAGACAAGAGTATGCCATATGTGTTTCAGTCACTTTTTTGCCGTACACACGGTCAGCAAGCGTTCTCACAAACAAACATGTTGTCATTGTTTTTTGCTGCTGTGTATAAAGTCTTAAATTGGGTTAGAATAATAACAACAAAGGGATTAAATGGAGATAATACAGAGGTCTCCAAACAATGATGGCTATAATGTCAATAATGCCAAAAGGTATTCCTTTTATGTTGTAGTTTATATTGTAAAATGATACACAGTACACCGCAGAAAAAAAAAAACTTTCATGGCCGTGTACATAAGAAAAACTGATGCCTATTTGCGTTGTATTTTTAGGGAAATGAGCTGCTTCTGTATTTTTGGATGAGAAATACACAGAGAAACTTTTTAGCCTGGCATGATAATAGTTGTCCAAATATAATTTTGTTAAATTTATCAAGCGCAGATGATGGCGATTTCTGGGCAATTTAAGAGTTTTTGCTGTAGTTTATTTGCATCCAAGAGGGTCTGAGTGGGGAAAAAGAGTCGTAGGAGTGTAGAGTTGGCTTAGTAAGGATGTCTGAGTGCCCTCCATTTGTTGTGACCATGCAGGGGCATCAATCGTGACCTTCAAATGGACTTGAAAGTGGTATAATAAGGAAAAACTACTCATTTTGAAAGGTTTGTAGCAAGCCTTACATGTTCTTTCCTTCTTTGTACAGGAGCCTCTGGTGGGTCCTACCACTGCCACCCAGACCATGCGTATGGAGAGGAGAGCGATAAGGTAAGAAAGACATTTATTAAAGTTTTCACAGAATTTCTGCAAAATGGAAAAACTTTTAAAATGTACGGGTTTAATGACCCCTCTCCCAGAGATGAAGCTTTAGCTCTGAGAAGTGCTTGATGGTGTTTAGTATTCAGCAGCAGGCAATGAGGCTTCTTGTGTAGACATTTGCCTCCAATTGCCTCCTTGAGAAACTCAAACAGCAGTGCCTCTGCTTTACATTTCATAAATGCCAAAGTATGTTAAGAGGTGGTACATAACTGTATGCACATTATACATCTGTGAGAGAGGACTGCAGGTTGTTGTTTAAGTTTATTCTTTACAACTAGTTAGGCTGTCATTGTTTCATGTATTTGTTGTTTACTTTTGTGTAATGAAGCATACCATACCATGCTTTCGAATAACCAGCTGATGTCCAGTTGTTTACAGCAGATTAATCTGATT